CACTTGTATGTCCACAACTCCGTTCACGTCAATCAGATATTATACCATTACCTGTTATGTTTGGGTTTGCGTATTTGACCCACGGCATGAAGAATCAGTTTCGAAACGACATAAAATACAAAAAGAGATTTATTAAGGGAAACAGAAGGAGCACCACCAACATGGGGCAGTTTCTGATGAGACTCGGACTCGAGTGGTTCTGGGGAGACAGAAGACAGTCAGCAGCTCGCTCCATGAGGGAGACTTTTATGCCTGGGTGAAGGAGCAAGGGGCTCGAGGGGGGAGCTGAGGTCTGAGGTGAGGTCCGGGGTCCAGGTAGGTGAGTGGAGGGAGAGCGGGACGTCTGGTGGCTGGCAGGTGTGGATTCGAAATGGTTCCAAGAAGATTATGGTAGAGCTGTGGAGTTGGTTGTAGCCAAGAATGGGAAACCTGGGGAGGAGGTTAGGAGCAGGTCTTGAAAGGTTCAGAGATTAGCAGGGCTCGAAATGTGGCTAGTGTCACTCAGTCAGGTTGTACCCAAAGTGAGTAATCATTTGGCCTTGTGTAGTCATCTGCCAGCTCCTTAAATAGGCCAGGTGTGCTGACTAGAATTGGCAGCAGCTGGGCTTACTCTGCCACACCACCCACCTGCAATCAAGCACTCCACGGTAGTTAATTGTGGATCCACTCACCTCAAACCGTGACAGTAGCTAGACCCGTTGCGTCCTTCGGGAAGAGGGGAGGCTGGTACCCGAGGACACTCCTGAAAGGCGACATCCCGGTCGCGGACGATGTGTGATTTTATGAGCGTGCTCAATCCAGGGTAACTGAATACTCCAACTCGAGGGGGTCAAGGAACACACACACAGCGTAACATGGATTCTGTTTCTTGATTAAGTCTTTCACACTGATCATTACTTTGAGGGTGAAACCCAGAACTCAAAGCCACATGGGCGCCCAAACTAATGGCGAAGTCCTTCCACACTCGTGTGATGAATTTTGGGCCTTTGTCTGAAACGATTTCCTCTGGAATACCGTGGAGTCGAAGCACATGCTTGACTAGCAATTGTGCAGTTTTTGTAGCAGAGGGGAGAGACCTGGGGGGGACAAGATGGCATGCCTTTGAAAAATGGTCAATGATGGTTAAAATGACGAAGAACCCTCGAGAGGGGGGCAGACCGGTTACAAATTCAATGGCTATATGAGACCAGGGACGTTTTGGAACTGGGAGGGGGTGTAGGAGACCACTGGGAGGTTGACTGTTACTCTTGTCCCTGGCGCACACTTGACAAGGCTGTGATGTAGCTCTTGACGTCTCTGTATAGTGAGGGCCAACAGAAGGACCTGCGGATGAGAGCAACTGTCCTCCCAATGCCAGGATGTACAGAGAACTTGGCAGTGTGTACCCAATGGATGAGGGGGCCCCCGAACTCTGGTTGACACAAACAAGCAATTTGGTGGACCATTACCTGGACCAGGGTCGTGTTTGAGGGCTTCCGTGACCTAGCGATGAATATCCCAGGAAACGGCGCCGACCACACAGGAAGGAGGGAGGATTGTGGTGGGGTCCTTATCAGAAGAAAACTGCCGGGACAGGGCGCCGGGTTTAGTGTTCTTACTGTCTGGTCTGTAAGAAATCACGAAGCTGAATCTTGAAAAGAAAAGGGACCATTGATACTGTCTCGGATTCAGCCTTTTGGCCTCCCTTTGGTAAGACAAATTCTTACGATCCATCCAAACGATTATCAGGTGTTCTGCCCTCCAACCAAGTCTCCACTCCTCAAAAGCCAGCTTCACTGCCAAGAGCTCCCGGTCTCTCACATCGTAGTTACACTCGGCCGGAGAGAGGCGCAGACAGAAGAAGGCACAAGGGTGCAAACGGTGATCTGCGGGAGTGATTTGTGAAAGCACTGCACCCACCCCTGTGTCAGAGGCGTCGATCTTCATGATGAACTGTTTGATGGAGTCAGGTCTGGTTAGAACAGGGGTCGTGGCAAACTTCTGTTTTAATTCCTGAAAGGCCTGGTTAGCTCTGGGGAACCATATGAACGGTTGGTTTCACAATTTCACCCCACATATTGACAATCTGAAACTTCTCAGTGTTGTATGTATATATTTAGTTATAAAATTTAAATGACCTCTCAACTCATGATTATCTTCTCTTTCTGTAAATAATTTTGGTATATTATAGGCATTTTATTATTTCTAGCTTTATACAAAATTAGATCTGTTCTAAACTTAACTAAGTCCTCCCATTTTAAAAATAGCCTTTTTAAAAACTGTTTGTGTGTTCTCTATACCAACTTTTAGTTAAAATTCTTATAGCTTTTTTCTTTATAGTAACCAATGCTTGCGTGTTTGACTTATACGTATTTCTCCATACTTCAACTCAAGTATGGTAGCACTAATGGACAGTATAATATATATAGTGCCCTCTGATTTATCAAATGTCTTACTTTTCTCATAATAGAGACACTCCTCGGCAGCTTTACACAAATATGATTTATGTGTGGCTTCCAGCTAAATGTATTGTCCAGAATTACACATAGAAACTTTATTTATTTCAAACTGATCTACCATTAATTGGATTTTTTTTCTTTTTTCCAAAGCCAAAAAGCAAATACATTTGTATCATCAGCAAATGCTACCATCTTAAATCTTTCACAACCGTATTTATGTCATTAACATAAAGTATGAATAGTTTCGGTTCCAATATTGATCCTTGCGGCACTCCACAACTAATCTGCCTCGACTCAGATTTACATTCATCCATCATATTGTTGCCTGTTTTCCAATTAGCTATGTATCCATGACGCTGCTAAACCTCTTATTCCATACCTCTCCATATTTTTAAAAAGGATTATGTGGTTTACTGTAGCGAATATTTTACTGAAGTCTAAAACACACCCATCAAATATTTCTTTTTGTACTGGTGTTCTGTTAAATCCTCTACTAGGTCCAGTAGCCCCAATGCTGTAAATCTTCCTGTTCCTAACCCATCCTGCAAATTAGCAAATTTTAGTCCCTTCATCCCTGAACTACCCACCGTACATTTTTAATAGCCATACGTTAGAAACTACTTATGCAGCACAAATACACAACAATAAGAAACTTCGCTTAGCTTTTCCAGATCCTCCACACTCCGAATACACAGGTCTTTAGCTTCCTCTGGCCTACCATTCATCTTGACATAAACCCTGCAGTTGGAAGTCCATGTAGCCTGAATCTTCCCTTGCTTTTTTAAATACCTCACCTTCCTTGCCAAGTCTGCATTCATTTTTGAAAGGTGTCCTTTTCATATAAACCTGTGTCCCTTTCAGATTCTTGCCTTGTCTGAGTACATCAGCTTTCTTCTTCCTGTTGTAGAAGCGCAGAACAATCACTCGTCCAACCTTCTGATTCGTAGATTGTATTGTATGACAAGCTTCAATACTATTTCTATCCATCTGGATGTTCTTACTTTGTAGATATCCCACAACTTGGGCCTCAGCCGTATTGTCCAGTGACTCGGCTATACGTACACTATACATACGTATAGCCGAGACACTGGCGGTGCACAAGAACTTCATTGTGTGTGTGACTGATGCTTTCTGCATGCACAAGTTTTCTTTAATTAGAGAAATGTAGCAACCTGCGTGGAGAGAAGATCCGTGCCCAAGGTAAGAAGTTATTCTCGTGTTGATCCTCTCAAAAGACTGTGTTGACATAAAATATACGCGATACGTTTTCTTTTTGAAGACCATCAGGCATCTTCTGTGTTTCCCACTCTTAAATAATCATCCTCTGTGGACTGATGGACTTGAAATAGTATTGAATTGACCTTCAACCCTTTTCAGACTCACTAAGTTATTTCCATAAGGCCTTTCCTCCTTGGGTCCACACACACCTTTAAGCACCAGAACAGCAGACTTTTAAACAGAGGAGATCAGTTGTCTTCAGCTTGTTGAAGTTTTTTTGTTGTTATTTTGTAGGAACATATCGTGTCTCTTCTGAGATCTGTGCGTTATAAGGGTTGAGGGGATCTCTAATCTGATTTAGCTTCTGTGTGAATGTCAGAAGTCTCTACTTTCTGGTGGCACTGCATGACCTGTAAAACCTGCGATTAGAAGAAAGTCTGAGAATAAAAAAACAATGAACTGAAAGCAGCACGGTCCCCTTTAGAAAAACCAGCACCACCTGACTGGGGATCTGAAACTAGATCATCTGTGATTGGAGAGCTGCAGAAACCAAAAAAAAAAAAAGGTTATGATGATGATGATGATGTATTATTAATATGTTATTGCTTTACAATGCTATCTATTTAAGCATTTATTTTTAGGATTTTGCTGCCTTGCTACCAAAATGACGGAAAACTGCAGGAGTTTTATTGCTGTTTTTTTCTAGCGTGGACATTAAAGGGTCTCTTCATCGTGTGCAGTTTTATCATGTTCTCTCTCACAGCATGGTCACACAAACACAATGAAGAGTCAAAAAGCAGGACTTTCATTTTAGAGAGAGAGAGCTTTGTGTAATGTGAGCCTTTTCCCCGTCGGTCGGCTGAGGTAACACTGACATGTTGCCACATGTTGGGGGAAAATGTGGGGGTAGAAAGAGCTGCAGTGCAAGACTACTTAAACCAAAAGTGAAACTTCAACCAAATGTCAAATAGAAATCACATAAACACCAGGCTCCTGAGTTAGAATGGTTCACTGTAAAGTGAGGGGATCACCAAAGTTAACAAGCCAGCATGAAAGTTTGTACAAAATTTCATAATAATCTTTGAAAGTGTCGTAGTTCAGTTCCCCTTCCAAGATTGCCTAAGAGTGTGCGTGCGTGTGTGTGTGTGCGTGCGTGCGTGCGTGCGTGCGTGCGCGTGTGTGTGTGTGTGTGTGTGTGTGTGTGTGTGTGAGCATTTGGGTTTTCCACTCCCTATCGTTTTAAAAGTAGGAGGAGCGTTTCAGTTTTTAAAGAGACCCACCAGCAGCGTTAGTCAGAGCAGAGGCTGTGGCTCAGGGTGAGTAACAGCATTTGTTCTGATTCTTCTGTTAACTTGCTACTTGAAATCGTGAACGCTGGTTTGCTTTTTTAACCAATAAAAATGTAGTAAATTTGACGTTTACTGAGAACATGAAAACAACATCTTTTTGTTTACAAGCTGATCAATACTTTGTTGTTTCTTTAATGTTTAGATTGGTCAGCCTGCTAAAGGAGAAGGACCCAGTCCGATTCAGAAATGCGGGTTTGCCAAAACTCAGACAGCCTCAAGCTGAACAGCTTTCTGACCCCAAAGGGCAGATCTCCAGGTGAATGGATTAGGGGCACTTTTCAGAGATTTAGGGGAAGTTCCCCACATTCTGGAGACAGCAGCCCCTCTTCAACCTATGGACAGGACTCGCCTGTTGAAGAAGAGACTACAGAAGGTGAGTGATGCGTTAATGTCCCCCAAGTCTGTAGCGTTGTATTTTAAAAACCTGTCTTTAATTCTACATGGCAGACTGCGGATGTGGCGAGCTTTTCTAATTCACGAGAGATAAAAATGTTACAGCTGCAGTCTGTTTACAAAAAGAAAAGGGTAATGAAAACATGACACTGTGGTGTGTGGGATAAAGTCCTCCTGACCAGTGATTATTCTGATCCGTCTCTGCTTACACCACATGAACGTACCCCAACCCTTCAGTGCATGCTGTTTCCAGTTATTTACGCAGCTTGGATTTAAAACTGAGCTAATTCCGACCAAGAGTGTGTTTAAACAGTTAGTGCCAGGGTAGTGGTGAGGTTTGCTGATGCAGATATTAGCTACTAAAATCTATACTAGATGGTTACTCTCCACGTGTTTGCTGTCTTGTGCACCTGACATGAGAGTCGGTGGTTTTCATGACATCGTAGGAAAATGACAGAACTGCCTGAAGATTGTGAAGGCTTTGACTTTTGACTGATTGATGCTGATGCTTAAATCGTGTTTTTCTTCCTCAGTCATCCCCACATTTGATGAGCTTCTTGAAGCAGGACGTTTAAGTGAAGCCTCTCAGCAGCTGATTGACAGGGAGAATGATCTGTTTCAGGAGGTGACAGAAGAAGGGTCACTTCAGCAGCCTTCAGTAGATCGGTTAGCTGAGGACCGCAGAGCCCTGGAAAAGCATTTAACCGAGACTCTTCAGCAAAGTCTGTCTCTAAGCCTTGAAGACATTCACAACGAGGCAGCAGTGCATGCTCTGACAACAGCCTTAACATCTGCTGTGAAGGCTGTCCACCAGGAGGAGGAACAGACCCTGCTGAGGGAACAAAGGGGATGCAAAGCACTCAGCTGCTGGAAGAAGCTCCACGACTCAAGTCTACTCAGTTTAGTGGAGAGACGAATGGAAAACCCACTGGAGAGTCCTGTCAGCCAAGCAGAGCAGTCATCAATCCAGACAGACATCTATAGCATGGGAAGGCAGCTGAAACAAGACCTCCTGTTTGTGGTGATTGTGGTGAAGAGCTGCTACCCCCCACAATCAAACATCTGTCAGTTCTATGCCTCCCTGTACCACCAAACCTTCAGCGCCAGGCTCAGGAAGATCGCAGACTTCGGTCTGGAGGACAAGGACGCTACTTTCCTACTGCGCTGGGTGAACGAGTATTATCCAGGGTGAGTAAATAGTCTGTATTTGAAATAGCTGCTTCCGGGGTTCTTCAACCCCCCAACACACTCTGCAACACAACCAGTCACTCACACACTGATCAGTGTAGCCACTGCTGCCCTGGGGCACACTGATGAAGCTGCAATGTACAGGCCACACCGTCCGGCCCCTCTGACCACCACTAGCAGGCAATGCAGATTTAGTGTCTTGCCCAATGACGCAACGACTATGGCAGATGGGCTTGAACCTGCAACCCACTGGTTATGGGGCAGGCACTTAGAAAAAACACGCCCTTATGCCTGAGAATGTATGACCACAGACCGATGCTCCATGTTGGAAACCATGGAAAGATCAGATGGAGACAATGAGGCAACAGAAAACAAGTAGAAAACAATAAAGTCAGATTGGTTCTCGTGTTAATTCCCTACACACAGTCGTCACCAACAAACCGCTGCATGTTACCATCTTTTAGCAGCTTTTAATTTGACTTTGAAGTCTGATTTATGGTTTCATTAAATACAAACACAAGCCGGCCACTGAGCTGGTTCTCCTCAGTCGAGTGACGTCTCGACTTGCTTTGGAAGACTTAAAAAGAACGTCCATAAGCTCAGGTTGTGATTTCTCTAAATGAGTGCCTTTTTTATTTGCTGGTGATTGTTGCAGGATCTTCCAGAAACCAGAACTTTCCAGTGAAATTGATTCTGCAGCTTTGGGGAAACTGCTACCCAAAGAGCTGCTGGAGCCGCTGGAGGAGCAGTACCTGAGCAAGCAGAAGGTAACACCTGATGATAGCTTCTGATCCCGCTAATGCATCTTTCTTATCAGAACCTCCTCTGCTCCTCCATCACACACACGTTGCCAGGGTAACCAGACTGAATGGCCGCTCAGAAGAGGCTGCACACTCAGACAACATTTCCTAGTAAATACAAAACTGCAAAGAGAACAACTCCTTAAATGTAAATGGCAACCCGTTACTCTGCGATTGATCAAATTCAGGTTTTATTTTTTCATGACGGGCATAGGCGTCATTTTAACCGGGGACGCCGGGGACATGTCCCCGGCAAAATTTGTGATTGGCAGCTGTGTCCCCCCCACTTTCAAAAACGCCTGCTGATGAGGATTTTTGTTTTACCAGCTCAGATCTTATCCAGGGGTCGGCAACCTATTCCCATCAAAGAGCCATTATTACTCGTTTCCCACGGTAATTTTGGACGGACTTAAGTGAAGCAGGCAGGTCGCGCTAGAAAATTTAGTTTAAAAAGACGTCATAAATGTGTTCCCCCGTCCTTTTTATTTATAAAATATGAAGTAAAAACTCCCAATTTAATTTTCATTCATTTGTCATTAATATGTAGTCTACACCCGTGCGTTAAGTGGACCATCTTCCAGTAAACGCAGCATCCAGTCCACCTCTCCAAATGCGTAAAATGTGCATCAGCCGCTAGTTAGGCGCGCCGCTCGCACCATCAGCTGATCAGCCCAGACAAGAGCAGAGCAAATAGAGAAAGAATAGAGGATAAATGTGTCTGGATGTGGATGGAGATTACATTTTACAGCAGCCTGATCATCATTTAAATATGTAAACCATCACCTGTCTTCTAGTCCACGCTATCAGCATTATTTCAATTGGTGTGTGTGTGTGTGTGTGTGTGTGTGTGTGTGTGTGTGTGTGTGTGTGTGTGTGTGTGCGTGCGTGTGTGTGTGTGTGTGTGTGTGTGTTCCACTTCAAACACTGGTCTAACCAACCAGACCAGCGTGTCCAGTAACATATTAATGTTACACTTAAACAGTTTCCCTTCATGTAGGCTAGGAACGTTTCACCTGCCGTGGCCCGACCGCTTCTGCTCCACATAAACTTTGTGCGTGATCAAATGTCTCTACGCGTCATGCATCTCCATATTAGAGACGGGAACAAGCGCTGTTCAGCCAAAGTTTCATAATTTCATAAAAAGAACATTTTTCCAAGTGACACATCCCTCAGAGAGACCGGGTTTCCAGACCGCTTCAGTGGAAGGAAATCTTATCGCATGCACCGTGGTTCTGCGCTGGAACCCCAGATCTTCAGCTCACTGTCCACCGTGGGCGCTCCGAGCCGCGCTGAACACAGTGTCCAGTATAAAGCTCTGATGTTCTGATGGGAATATTTTACCTCCGCGAAGTGCGTTAACGATTAAAATGTCAGCTCATCCATGCGCATCCGTGTGCGTCGGGGTAATTCTTTCAAACCAAGCAACATCCTTGAGTTCATCTGTCAAAATAAACAGTCAAATGGAAATATCTGTAACCTGCCGTTTAACTGTTTTGCCTTCCTGTGAAGATTGTTGCAAAGAGAAACAATTAAACTTGATTAACCCCAGAGCCACGCAGAGAACCATGCAGAGCGCATGCGGGAAGATTCCTCCCACTGATGCGAGTGTTTTCCAAACCCGGTCTCTCAGAGAGACTTGTCACTTAGAAAATGTTCCCTGATGATGAAACTTTGGCTGAATAGTGCTTGTTCCTGTCTCCAATGTGGCGGCACATCCAGGAGCCTGTCTGAGGAGAATCCCAGAATCTCACATCCTCTTCAGCTCATAAAGCGCCTATGATTACGTACAAGCGTGACGCGTCAACCCGGTCTCACAGTAAGACCGGGTTGGACCTGTTCAGGTTTATACAGACAATCTTTACATTTAGAATTGGCATACAGGTGTAAAATTAATGCAGTAAAATATAAAGCATTTTATTTAAATATCCATTCATTATTTTATAAGCACAGAGAGCCGCATCAGATGGATGGAAGAGCCGCATGCGGCTCCAGAGCCGCCGACCCCAGTGCTAGCCTACTTTATTGTCCCCAGCAATTTTTAAACCCCACTCAAGTGTATGGTTATTGTCCCCAGCAATTCTGAAAACAAACTGACGCCCTTGATGACGGGAACCTCTCCTCTGTCCCCTCTGCGTTTAGAACCTCCGCAACTTGGTTGGTTGTTTGGCACTTTGACAGCCAGTGTCTCGATGTCGCTGTCAGAAAAGTTTTAGATTTTTTGGGGGGGAATTCCCTCATGGAGTGACCAAATATGGTTAAAGAGATTTGAAACAAAATGGTTATGCATACAACAACAATGTGTTTTGAAGAATCAGTTTTTCAAGTCATCCTTTGAAGTATTTTTATTCGTCCTTTTGGTGTCTTGCCTGTTTATTATTGATGATCTGCTGGCAGCATCCATATTTGCAAACTGCCTTACTTTTCACAGACAGATGAACAGAAAAAGCACATGATCAGGTTCTCATAGTTGGAGAAAGATGGAGGGATAAACATCAAATCACGTCAAAGTCCGGATCACTGCTCTTGGAGCACACATCCTCTCCGTCTTCCTGCTTTCTTATCTGCTACTCTTTATTCCACCTTCCTCTCCTTGGTTTCTTTGCTGTTTTTCTTTCTCTCTTTTACTTTAGGTCATATCTCCATCCCTCTCGAACACACACACACACACACACACACACACACACACACACACACACACACACACAAAATCACATCAGTAAAAATTTATATTCGGCTGAGTCCAGATGAACCAAGTAAGGTAAGGCGAGGAAACGCCATCAGAGGAGCCGTTTGCCCCGGCAGCATCGGGTCTTCCACAGCAACTAAGTCAGGGCGCTCAGAGGAGGGGGAGCGTAGGCCCCCACCTCCACTCAAACACTACCTGTAGAGCACCCAGGAAGCAACAGTCGACCACCGTCACTGGGGCAGAGGGCCCCCACAGAGAAAACACTGGATTAAGAGCTAATATAAATGACAAAAGTAAGAAAATAAGTAATAAATAAAATCGTATAGACAGTAAAATAATATTATTAAATACTGAAACTATGCTAAAATATAATCATATAAAACATGCAAAGCAAGCAATAAAATGTAATAATGTAAAACGAGAAATAAAACTATAGTAAATAATTAGATAAAAGCCAACCTAAATAGGTGGGTCTTGAGCCTGGACTTAAAAACATGAATGTTCTCTGTGGCCCCGAGGTCCTCCGGCAGTTCGTTCCAGAGGCAAGGGCTGTAAAAACTGGAAGGACGCCTCGCCGTGAGTGTGTGTCCTGACTTTAGGGATGACCAGGATGCCTTTAGCTTTAGCTTAGCATTAAACACAGCAAGTGAATGGATCCAACTAGCATTGTGCGTAAAAAAGTCAAATTTTCAATGTTGGTTGGAATATGCCTTTAACTGAGGGTGTTTCTGTATGTAAATGACTGAGAACGGACACGAGCACCTGAGCACACACAGGTGGGGATTTATCATCAGACGAGAGGCCACCGCATGTTTCATAAATCAGAATTCTGACTTTCCATACAAACATTCTAAAATTCGTTCATAGGAAGGAATGTGATGTTCACTTATTTACTTTCTTAAACAGAGAATGTGCCACTACTAGTTCACCTGTGTGTGTGTGTGTGTGTGTGTGTGTGTGTGTGTGTGTGTGTGTGTGTGTGTGTGTGTGTGTGTGTGTGTGTGTGTGTGTGTGTGTGTGTGTTGTGTGTGTGTGTGTGTGTGTGTGTGTGTGTGTGTGTGTGTGTGTGTGTGTGTGTGTGTGTGTGTGTGTGTGTGTGTGTGTGTGTGTGTGTGTGTGTGTGTGTGTGTGTGTGTGTGTGTGTGTGTGTGTGTGTGTGTGTGTGTGTGTGTGTGTGTGTGTGTGTGTGTGTGTGTGTGTGTGTGTGTGTGTGTGTGTGTGTGTGTGTGTGTGTGTGTGTGTGTGTGTGTGTGTGTGTGTGTGTGTGTGTGTGTGTGTGTGTGTGTGTGTGTGTGTGTGTGTGTGTGTGTGTGTGTGTGTGTGTGTCTGCTTTGTCTTCTCCATCCCCAGTGAGTCGTGGAGGATGGCTGCTTGTACTGAGCCAGGATTCTCTGGAGGTTTCTTCCTGTTAAAAGGGAGTTTTCCTCTCCACTGTCGCTGCATGCTTGCTTAGTATGAGGATTGCTGTAAAGACTCTGACACTAGTCAGTGACTCGATGCAACCTGCTGGGTTCCTTATTTAGGAAACTTTTTACTGATTTCAACAATGGACTAAACTCAGTGTACTGATAAGTAGGTTCAAGTGGAATGTTGACTTTGTCTTGAGATGACTCCTGTTGTGAATTGGTGGTTTATAAATGAACTGACATGAATTGAAGCTGTTTTTGAAGTTTTTATTGTAAAAGAGAACATGTTGTGTGTCTAGACTGACCTGTCAGACTACATGAACCAAGTCCTGCAGTTGGAAGACAGGAAATGGACCAGTGGAGAGGAGGCAAAGAAGGAGGACGGCTGCTACACCAGTCCTCTGGCCTATGACATCATTCAGGTGCAAAACTCACCTTAAATCAGCTATAATAGCTTGTTGTCCTATACATATGTCAGTTGTGTAAAGTAGCTGTGGCAGAAACTCGTATTCTCCTTGATTATTTTGATTCTATTCTCATCCTGTGAAATATTCACAGATCAAAGAGCAACTTGTTTTGAAAAATGGATTTATTATTATCTAGCAGTTTTCCAGCTCATTGCTCACCAGCTTGTTTCTCATTAACTGAAGTTAAACTGTGGAAGAGACAAGCGATGAGCTCTTGAGAAACACGATAAATCAGGGGTGTCCAAAGTGAGCTCGTGCCATTTGTGGTTCTTGGAAACATTTAGAAAGTGGTAGAATTTCATCTCATCAGCTTACATTAATGTAGATGAAACAAAATCAATTAAAGTATACAACACAAGAAAGCACAACACAAAATAGTTGTCTTTACACTGACCGTGTTTTATTTGATATCCATGAATATATTAGCCATCAACCTTTCACTCATAACATTTTTTGTGGTCCTTTGAGACTTGTATATGAGTGCCCCTGCTTTAGAGTGTGCATCTGCGAGAGGTCCTCTCCCTCTCTGCCTCTTCCCTGGGGGTGCCACAAGGCTTGATTCTGGGTCCTTTAATATTCTTACTCTATATTCCCCACCTGAGCAACATTTGCCAAATTTCACACCAACTACCACGTCTATGCTGACGACTGCCAAATCTATCTGGCTCTAAACCCTCTCAGCTCATTTCAGTCATTCCTGAATTGTCTTTTAGAAGCCTAGAAGTTGTTTTCCTTCAACTTCCGCCATTTAAACGGTAAAACCGACACAGCCCCCCCCCCCCCAAGAACCAGTACGCCACATCCATCGTTCTCACGTCCTTCCCTCTGAATCAAATTGGACTTGGAAGTTAACTGTGACTCCGCAGATAAATGACACAGTTAAGTCCTGTTTATTTCAACTCCACCGGCTAACTTGTCTGAAACCTATTCTGAAAAGGTCATTCATGCATTCATAACCTCCGGACTGGACTATGCAAACTCAACCCTAATAGGAGTCAGAAAATCATCCATGAATGGCCTCCTAAAGGTTCAGAATGCTGTGGCTTGGTCTCTGACGAATACAGACAGATGCAGTCACATCACTCTTGTACTGGAAATTTTGCATTGGCTCCTCCATTTCAAATTCAAGGTCCTTGTCTTTGTTTATAAAATTCTTCCTGTTCATGCCCATCTCCATAGGTCCGACATCATCAATCCGTATGTGTCATTGCGATCACTGAGGTCAGCCGATCACCAATTAAGTGATTATAATTCTGTGGGTAACAAGCATTTTCTTACACCGCCACGAAACTCTGGAATTAACTTTTCCTTTGCACGTGAGGCAGGCCCCATGGTTAGCTCATTTTAGGTCCACTCTTAAGGCCCGTTATGTTTATCTTGCATTTGAATGCTGACTTTATCATTGTTGTATCTTATAATCTTTATTCAGCCCTTTGCTCGGCTGTCATGCTGTCAAAAGCTACAAAAATAAACTTGGAATGCTAAATCGGTCTTTAAGAAATTACAATTAAAACTTCCAAACACAACAAATATGAGAATATGACAGAAAAACCACACGAGTGCACGCTAAACATCAGCTCTCATGGGTTTAGTCAATTTTAATCTGCAGATCCAGTATCAGATGCTAACAAACATCACTGTGTGTCCTTGTCTCTTTAGGGTATCAATGGGATGGTGAAAGCAGCAGAAAAAGTCACAGGAAATCGTCAGAAAGCCCAGACAATAACACACCAACTCCCTGGTTTTATGACAAAGTAACTAAACCATCCGTCTTTTCTCCAAAACATCAGTTTAAAGCAGCTTTCTTTGATCCGTTCAATGAAAACCGTTTTAATCTTTCTCAAACTCCTGCAGGTACAAGCATTTACAATCAGTCCTCCAGGTGAACAACCAGATCAGCCACATCAAAGCAAGCCTCTGCTGTGTGGAGCAGTTCAGGTGGGTTTCTGACCCAACATCAGACTTCCAGAAGCATGAGCAGAAGCATTTGGCTTGAAGCGTCTTTTGTTGTTTTGCCTGCAGGGATGTACTTCTTGGGGAAAACCACTTGTTCCCACACGAGGTGAAGGAGGAGTGTTTAGGTCTTCTGATGGACATCGAACAATCTGCTCACTCTTGTTTATTAATCCCCATTCACAAGATTCTCATGGTGGGTGTAATTAAAATAATCTAAAAACTTGTTCTCACATAAAATCTAAATTTATTTCAATCCCGGCTATCTATCAACCCCCACTCGCCCCAAAATAATTCTACTGAAAACACTTGTTTAGTGCTATTTAAGTGTTTTTTTAGTGTTTGCTGATGATGTTCGACTGTAAATGTTTTAAATGATCTCTTAACAGCCGCAGTACAAGAAGCTGGGAACCACTGACTGGCTGAGAAAGAATGGATTTGAGAAACTCTGGAGGAGCTTGGAGGTAGAGCTGCTGAAATTTCAGGATGTGCCTCATCTTGGTCGCCAGGTAAACACCACCAACCATACTTCAACACTGGACGTTTCATTTCAGTGTCTTCTCGTGGCTCACTATTAAATGTTTCTCAGGAGCTGATTGGTAGACTCCACCAGGAGGTGACGGAGGAGTACGTCAGGAGGCTCCTGAGAAGAGACGTCAAACTGAAGGACCGGGAGCAGCAGCAGAGGGCTTACACCATCGTCACACAAAACGCAGAAAGTTTAAACACACTGTTCAGCAGAATGGTGAGACTCAATCATCAGTGCACACTTTGGCCCAGCTCAAGTAGGAAATGTCACACTAACCACTGGGTTTCAGTAAAACTCACGTGTGATATAAGCTGATTGCAAATTAATGGAAGCTATCAGAATGGGTGCCTGGAGATAATGGTCAGCATGGAAACCAGCTCCATTTGCATGAACATAAAGTCCAAATAACTGTTAAAGACCAAGTTTACTGAGAAACAGCTTTTACTTCTTTTTTCCCCACATTCAGGCTGTGATTGGCCCACCATTGTGGACCAATCACAGCACTCTGTCAGTTTGAAAACCCTCTAGAGAGCTGTGATTGGCCAGCCAGAATGCTGCCAGGGGCTGCGGAGGTTCCAAATGAGCGTCCTAGACCAAACAGTAAAGCAGGAGTTTGGTCTCGTTCACTAGGTTAGTGGTCCCTAAAGCCGTTTTTACAAGACACACCGCACACACACGCCGGCAAATTGGCGTAATGTTACCACTACGGTATGTCTCATAAATGCGCCATGCTGGCATAGCGTTGCTCCAATTTTGCTTGGTAGTAATTTTGCGGTAATGGTTGGTCTCATAAACAGCTATGGTGCAACAGAGGGAGGTGTCAGGGTAACGTGGGTAGTTAATGCGGAGCTCCAGCCAGCAAATATATTGATAATGGAAATAAACACGGGCGATACGTGTTTTTTTTCTTTTTGAACAAAATCAGCTGAGACGTAAACTGAGCACCTCTCTGTTAGAGCTGATGCTCGGATCATCAGAGGCTGCACAGGGACTGAGGGGGACGGACATCCTCAGAGCAGCTTGTAAAAACACCTTAACGATTGCGGCTTCAACTGTTATGAATAACAAGTTATGTCCGCCGAGACCACCCCCATACCCTGTACATGCCGCCATCACCTAACCTTTTGTAAAGAGGACACAATTGCGCCACATTACTGCCACGCTCTGACCACTTTCACGTTCACCCTGCCTGTTAAATTCAGAGTTACCGATCCCGTTTTAAAAACAAGTAAAAACCGTTTCTATGTAAACCATCCATCCATTTTCATCCGCTTATCCGGAGTCGGGTTGCGGGGGCAGTAGCCCCTCTCCCCAGCCACTTGGGCCAGCTCCTTCGGGGAAATCCCAAGGCGTTCCCTGGTCAGGTGAGAGACATAGTCCCTCCACCGTGTCCTGGGTCTACCTTTAGGTCTCCTCCCGGTTGGATGTGCCTGGAAAACCTCACCAGGGAGGCGTCCAGGAGGCATCCTGACCAGATGCCCAGGCCACCTCAACTGGCTCTTCTTGATGGGGAGGAGCAGCGGGTCTACTCTGAGCCCCTCCCGGATGACCGAGCTTCTCAACCTATCTCTAAGGGAGAGCCCAGCCACTCTTCGGAGAAAACTCATTTTGGTCGCTTGTATCCGCGTTCTTGTTCCTTCGGTCACTACCCAAAGCTCGTGACCATAGCTGAGGGTAGGAACTATGTTTCTATGTAAACTTGCTCTTTAAATGCCTACACCACCTATGTGTTGAAGAAATAATGGAGGAAAAGTCATTTTGGTCAAAACTTTAAAACAATCTCATGCTCTTCCTCACCTGGAACTGCAGTATGTGCTTGATTTTAGCTCTGAGTTTGTCAGCTACCACAGCGCCATGTTTAGGTAAATATCTATATATTCGACTGCCTTATTGACTCCAGCTTGTAGTCAGTAGCAGATCCCACTCTGATCTTTAAAGAGTGTCATTAAAATCTGTCCAGAGGCTGGTGAGGTATATAACAGACACACACAGTCATATGAAAAGAATGTAACCCTCATGACCTTCCATAGAAACCGTATCTGAGGTTAACATGTTCTGTTTTCACAGGGATCCAAACAGGACTGGTTAAAGGAAATCCTGATCAAGATAGCAGAAGTCTTGAGGCTCCAAGATGTTCCTGCTCTACAGATGCACATCGCTTCACTGGGATCTGCCCATCCCGACATCAGGTAACAGTGTCAAGAGTCTAAAAGTTAAAGCATTCTTTGTGTGGTCCGCTGAGAAACCAGATGACCACGGCCTTTCGGATAAACTCCGACTGAGGAAATAACAAATCATTTATCAGAGAGAGGAAAAGGAAGTGAGCTGTTCCAGACATATGCAATCTGTTCAGATGTTTCCAGAGAACAAGATCAACTTCATGATGGGGCCACATTTTGTTCCAAGTTTAGAAAATGTTTTGGATAAAATAAACGTCTGTCGTCTCATGAGGAATGAATAAAGTAAATAACTCTGCTTTCTCTGGAAGTAATCAAGAGGGACGGGTTAGCTTTAAAGCTAAGGTCCCGTTAGTCATCACACACACACCGGTGAAATTACATCTACACATCCGACCCATCCCCATGGGGAGCGGCGAGCTGCAGCTGTGGTCACGATCATCCGGTCAGTCACTAAAAGGGGCGTTTTTGTTTGTAAACGGGAACGCCCCCTCCACAACAGGAACGCCCCCTTCTTCTTATTCGCTCCTGAAATGTTTCTTCACCTCCGATGTTTCAAAATAAAATATTTTCTCCGCTCATCTATCTGTTCTCCGTCTTTTTTATACAGTTATTGATCATCTGTGCTCACCCTGCCCTTTCATTCTGTGTTGCTGGATCCACGTGAGCGTGCTCCACGCTCTCCGAACCCGAACCTGCGTTTAGTCCCGCCCCCTGCTTTATCCACAGTTATTAAACTCGAAACAGGAGACTGTCAGTTAGGCGGGACACAAACTTTTCTCCTCTACTTCGGACTGTCTCTCATGAGAAGCTCACCCGAAACACTGCAGCTAGACAGGAAGAAGCCAGTGGCTTTTCAAAATAAAATTTAAACGTTTTATGATCTTTAAATGAAT